TGATTAATAGCATCCATCAACACTTGAATTGAGTCCAAGCTTGCATGTGAGAACAACATAATGTCATCTGCAAATGTGAGGTGAGTGATTGCCAGTTTCTTGCATCTCAAGTGAAACCTGAATCTTGGGTTACTCCCAATGTGGCTGTTGACACATAAAGTCAAAATTTCCATTGCAAGCATAAAAAACATGGGTGAAAGAGGGTCCCCCTGTCTAATACCCCTCTTCCCTTTGAAGTATCCAAACAACTCTCCATTGAGAAAAAAGTGAAAAAGTTGGAGTGGTTATACATTGAGCTATCCAATTGATAAAAGTAGCAGGGAAACCAAACAGGTGAAGAGAATCCAGGATAAACTGCCAGTGTATGGAATCAAATGCCTTCTTTAAATCAATTTTAATGGCACAGTTTGGGGAGTGATTTGCTCTATGATATCCATTTAGTAACTCATGAGCTAGCAAGACATTATTAAAAATTTGCCTTCCCTTAATGAAGGCTGTTTGGGTAGAGCTTATAAGTATGGGCAGAATATGACCAAGTTTAATGGATATAAGCTTAGAAATGGTCTTGTATATTATGTTACAGCATGATATAGGTCTAAAGTCATTGGCTAAGTTTGGGTTTGGTTTTTTAGGTACTAAAACAATGTATGAACTATTAATCTCAGTCAACATTCTTCCAAAAATGAAGAAATCTCTAACTGCGGCAATGACTTCTTGCCCCACAATTGGCTATGAGTGCTTGAAGAAGAAAGAATTGAATCCATCAAGACTCGGGCTCTTGTATGGGTGAAATGAGAGAATACAAGATTGTATCTCTTGGTCAGTGGGGATAGCTGTGAGGGAAGGAAGAAGGTGTGCTGGTACAGATTTAGAGATGACTGCTAAGAATGAGTGCATACCTGGGTAGCTGAATCTGCATTGTCCAAGAATGCTCTGAAAGTGGTTAAGCATCTCACATTTAAAGTCCTGTCCTTGAACAAGGTTTTCATTTGGGTCAGTGATAGACTGAATCTTCCTTCTGTTTGCTTTGGAGTTAAAACTTTTCATGAAGAGTGTGGTATTCTGGTCACCCTCCCTAAGCCAGTGAACTTGAGCTTTTTGTTTAAAGAACATCTCCTCAGCTAGTAAATGCTCAAAGAATTTCTGTGAGAGTTCTTTCTCCCTAAGCCTAAGAACATCATCAGCTGGGTTGGAGTCAAGATTCTTTTGGCAAACAAATAAATCATCTCTAGAGGCTGCTACCCTTTCTGAAATAGAACTAAATTCTTTCTTGGTTAACATTTTCAGAGGCAGCTTGAGAGCTCTTAATTTCTGAACCACCCTAAACATTCTTGAATCATGCACTTCCATTTGCCATGCTTGTGAAACAATGGTTGAAAAGCTAGGATGCAATGCCCAGAAATTAAAGAATTTGAATTGGAGGTTTCTTTTGGAAGCAAGGGTACCAAAGTTAACCACCATAGGTGAATGGTCTAAAATTTCATGTGGTAGGAAATGACATTCTGCCTGTGTGAATTTGGACATCCAAGGTTAGTTGATAAGGACCCTGTCAAGCTTCCTTGAGATGTTGGCACAACCAAAGCTTCTATTTGACCATGTATGGAAAATTCCATTAAATCTTAGGTCCTCAAGACCATTAGAGCTCAGAAATTCCTTGAATTCTGCCATTCCATCCGTCCACCTAAGAGCTCTACCAAATGAGTCATTTATATGCAGGAGAACATTAAAATCACCAAGTAAAATCCAGCTCAGTTGAGGAAGAATTAAGCTTCAGGTTCCTCTAAAGTGTTCAAGTGTGCACATTCTCATTTTCTTTCTTCTTCTAATTCTTACCATATTTTCGAAGGTTAAAGCTCGGAATTAGGGATGGCAATAGGGCGGTTTGGGGCGGGTTTTCCATTCCCCATCCCAGCCGCCGTTTAATTTTGGTACCCCCAAAACCGCCCCATAACCGTTTAAGTTTTTGCTTCTAATCCCTATAACCGCCCCGAACCCACCCCAATCTTCCTCGCCCCCGCCCTCGCCCCATAACTGGTTAAATTTAAAAATTCCAATTTTTTTGATTTTTTGATTGTACACAAGTTCTACAGAACCACATAAATCTGAGAAAGAAAATGGAAATAGATTCACATCATCGTCGTATCAATCTGCAGAACCACATCATCGTCGTATCAATCTGCAGAACCATATCATCGTCGTATCAATCCCACAATAAAATCAGCCATAAAATAAATAAATAAAAAAAAGAAACCCCTAAGTTGTCATAGATTGAGAAAGAAAATGGAAATAGATTCATAAAATGGAAACAATATTCAGAAACCCTAACTTATCAGGAAAAAAAAGGAATGTTCTGTCAGACTATTTTAGATAGAGATATCAAGAAGAAGATGCAACATATTTTAAAAAAAAAAAATTATATATATAATTATTGGATCTCCGTGTATAGAGAGAGAAAGGTATACGCAACAGCTAGATGAAAACAATATCTAACCCTAACCCAAGTATCTCTTTAAATCCTCCAGACAAAGGTGGAAAACACTGAATCAAACCAATTAAATCCATGTAGGTGAGTTCAATCTTTATTACAGAAACAGACCAAAAAAGGAGAGAGACGGAAATTCTATGTATAAAAATTACCAATCTATGAAGCCAAGACCTAAAAAGAGTAGCAAATCTGAGGGGATCTTAGAGGAATACCTTTTGGGATAAGCTTCGACCACTAAGAAACCATAGATACTGGGATTTTGTTAAGAATCGAATCAATCGATGGTCAGATCTATCAGTGCCGACTGCTGCGGCTGCCGCCTCACTAGTGAAGTCTGAAACTGAAAGTGAAATATAGGGTTTCAATATATATATATATGGTGAAGGTTAATTTTGTAAATATATTAACATGGAAAGGTATACTAGTAATTTAATATATTAACCGGGGCCGGTGTCGGGGCAGATGCGGGGCGGGGATCTGAGTCCCCCGCAACCGCCCCAAAACCGGCCGGTTTTTTTTCTTTTAACCCCCATCCTCACCCCATTTAAGTAAACGGTTCTCCAAACCCTTTTTAAATGCAGTGGGGGCGGGGCGGTTCCCCACCGGATTGGAGATTTTTGCCACCCTTACTCGAAATTGCAAGCCTAGTGGCAAGATAAAGGGAAAAAAACCACCTCCAAAGGGATGCAACAAGCAGAATGATTCCGATTGTTGCGTAGAGGGCAAGCTTTATGAGACGTACAAGTGTTCACCGGACGTGTCAGGCCGCACAAAGGCAATCCTGACACTGAATAGTTTTGAGAAGAATGGTGATGGCGGTGGACCATCGGAATGTGACAAGAAGTTCCATTCGGATGACACACCGGTGGTGGCGCTGTCTACCAGATGGTTTGAAAAGAGAGGGAGGTGCTTCAACAACATTACCATCCATGGTAATGGGAGGAGCGTGACGGCCATTGTGGTGGACGAGTGTGACTCAACATTGGGTTGTGATGCAGACCACGATTTTCAGCCTCCGTGTAGAAACAACATTGTTGATGCCATTTACCAAAAAAAAAAAAAAAAAAAAAAAACATTGTTGATGCCTCTAACGCTGTTTGGAAGCCTTTGGGAGTGCCGCGACGTGAGCGGGGCGAGCTAAAAATATTTTGGTCTGATCCTTGATTTCCATGATACATACATACATATATATATATATATGAGAGGGACTTTAAGTTATTTTTTATTTGAGTATTTATTACGTGGGTTATACTGTGCCACCACACGTTGAATAATGTCAAGATAATTTTAATAAATTTATGATTACCCTCAACCAGGAATTTTATTTTATTTTATTATTTATTTAAATTTTTTAAGTTTCAAAGTTGCATGATAGTTTCTTTTGTTATTTATTAATTTATTTACTTTTATCATAGATATGACCAGGTGGATCAAATGTGACTTTTTTCTTATGTTGGGAAAAAAAAATTGGAATCCGTTGCAATGTTGGATTTTTTTATTTGGAAGAAAAAGAAAACACAAGGGTTGCATTAATAATGTGAGGGTATATGGTTGTGTTTGCTAGTTCACCAATATCGGTGTAAATAAAGGTATTTACTTTTTCAATTTTTATCTTTTAAATAGTTAAAATATTTTACCCCAATAAAATCTATATCATTGCAAATAATCTGCATCAAGTAATTTTTCTTTTATTTTTTGGAAAAAAAAAAAAAAAAACCACACACCCATTTGCACCTATGAAATTTTGAATATTCATTCATCTTCAAGTATATAAAAAAAAATGTTCTCTAAATGTCAAAAAAAAATATATATATATGTATATAAATATAGAGAGAGAGAAATAATGATTATCATACGTGTGATATATATAGAAATCACGGTTTAAAATTAGGGGCGTAATTAGAAAATGGATTAAGATAGACACCCAAATTGAATCGGTCAAAAATTTGTGCAATAATATTCAATTGAGGGACCAAATTTGTATTATATCATTAATTTTTTAAACCATATTACAAGATTATACTCCTATTTTATTTTTCTTGAAAATAAGGTTATTTTTTTATTATTATTATTTTTACCTTTCAAAAAAAAAAAAAAAAATTTGTTGGGAGAAAAATATATATATATATATATATTTACATATATATAATGTTGAGAATAAATTCCGATTCTCTGCTATACAATTTTGATATTGCGGGCGTACAATTTAAAAAAAAAAAAATTATTTTAAAATAACATACATTATTCCGAAACAACTTATTTCGTCCACAATGCAGTGTTACTAATCATGATTAAAGTAGTATTAGTTATTATAAAAAATTATATAATGTTTGAATTGAACTGTGCACTTGTTTTGACATTAGTTAATGTTGTTTTTGATAATAATGACAACCAATATCAAAAGAGAACAAGGACCTTCAATTTTTTACACATGCCCTCAAAAGTCTCTCAACCCTTTGAACATTTCTTCAACATCTCTCATATACCCTAACCCAAAATCAAAACACACAAACACTCTCTCTCTCTCTGCGCTCGACCTCTTCCCCTTTGCCTTTCCTCATTGTCCAAGGTTCATCTCTCATTGGCGATCAGAAAATGGTATGCTCTTAATCCTTATAAAAATTTAAAACAACCTTTGTTTTATTTGATTATGTGAGAATGGTTAAAGCTAGCCTAGAATATATAGATAAAATAAAATAAAAAAAAAGCGAAGATAAAGCTACATGTGCAAAATAAGTTTTGAAAATCATGAGCACAGATAACTTAATTTAGCCTCGAATATTCACAATTTGATTCTGCATTCTGAATCTTTGGGTCAGATCTGAAATATTTATTTTTCTAAACAAATAATGGCTCAATTGTTTGGGTATGGCAATTTTTCATCGTAGGGTAGACATTAATCCTCGTGGTAATCATCAAATTAGGCATGACATTAATTGGCATGGTGTCACAATTTTTTTGTCAAAGCAAGTTGATTTGGGATTAGAAACAATTGTTCTTATGAATTACAATAAAGCAATATAATTCTTGATCATTTTATTGTATCAATGTATGATAAATTTTTATATATCATGTTGTCTGGATTAGGCAAATTCGGCGTCAGGAATGGCCGTGGATGATGAATGCAAGCTGAAGTTCTTGGAACTAAAAGCTAAGAGGAACCACAGATTCATTGTGTTCAAGATTGATGAGAAGAACCAACAAGCCACAGTAGAGAAGCTTGGTGGTCCTGAGGAAACCTATGAAGATTTCACTAATAGCTTGCCTGAAAACGAGTGCAGATATGCAGTCTATGATTTCGATTTCATAACTGATGAAAACTGCCAAAAAAGCAAGATCTTTTTCATTGCATGGTAATTAACTATATATATATATATATATATATATATGATGCTTTGTTTAACGAATCCGGATCCCCTCCTCTGGAGGGGATCTTGTGCCGCGTGTAGATCTACATTGTAGTGCAACAGATACATAAAAAAAGTTAATTGTTGCATAAGAGAGGATCCAGTTGTTGTTTAACCTGTAAATTTGTAAACTATGCACCGCACATTTCAGCAAATGTTTACCATTTATAATCCACCAGCTTTTTTGTTCAAGAACTTGATCCTGTATTCCTGTTGCATTTAATAATCCCTCAGATCGATCTTTATGTCATTTTATGTAGGTCACCGGATACGTCAAGAGTGAGAAACAAGATGCTCTACGCGACCTCCAAAGACAGATTCAAGAGAGAACTGGACGGCATTCAAGTTGAGTTGCAAGCAACTGATCCTAGTGAGATGAGCATGGACGTGATTAGAGGGCGAGCTTTATAAGTTCCTTCAACTATTGTTGTACGTTGTCTCTTGGAAATTAAATTTCTTTGTGGGGAGGGAGGGTGGTTTTGGGAGGGTGGTTGTATTGCTTCAGTGACTTTCATGGATCCATAGCTGAACTACTACTAATGGGACACAATCAGCGCCGTGGCAAGACACTGATAATCCTACTTCTTGTTACTTTGTATTCCTGTAGTACCGCAGCTTCTTTTATCAAGTTAAAGTTGTATACAACTACTTTTCTTTCATTAGAGAAGTTGCAGTGGCGATTATATGTATCTGAAGTTTTAAGTGAATATATATATATATATATATATATATATATATATATAGTCACTATTACAATCATCTTCTCTTCAATTCAGGGTCTGTCTCAATCAATTTATTTGCATCAAAAACCAAGATAAAAGCCATGATTCGGATATGATTCCAGTTGTATATAAAACTCATTAAGTTCTTAATTATTACCTGTCTAGGTGTCCAAGTGTTTTTTTTTAGTTAATGGTAAGCTTTTATAAATGAAAAGAATGTACAAAACAGCCCCAAAGATAAGGGACAACAAACTACAACAAGCAAATACAATACCAAAACAAACAAAGCAAAAGCTTTGAAGGAAAACTACAACAATGTAGCTAGGTGTCCAAGTTCTTTATTTGGTTTGATGTTTCAACCAGTCAAGTTGAACATTTTTCTTTTAATAAAAATTGATGAAAAATTGTAGAATATCTGATTGATGTAGATTTCATTATTACTGGACAATTACAATCCTGGTGTGTGTGATGGTAAGTTATGAATATGATGGACCACCAAAGTAACTTAGTGATATTTCTTCACCTTTTCAAAGTAGAAAATTTGTAGTTGAAAACCCATAAGAACAAAATAAGCCTTGTTTGTTTCTTGTCAAGAAAAATAGAATAAAGTTACGAATACAATGTAAAGCATGAGTCATTATTGGAATTAAGATAGAAGTATTTTTATTGAAAAATTATATTCTTGCCGGCTCTCGACATTGCCACTACTCACAACACTCGTGGAGTGCTGGGCCTCACAAGGAGGATTGTGAGTAGCGACAATTTCTCAAGTCGGTTATTGTAGTAAGGTTGATTTCTATTATATAAAACCAGTGCCTAGAATAAAAGAAGAGTACCGAAGATTTTGAATTCCCTTTTAGATTTATTGGCACCCCCATTCCAATCACCATTTGTCAAAAGCATTATATGAGGTAATCACCATTTGTTAAAACTCTTATGTGCTTCAATAGAAACCGGAAAACAGAGGGATGTTGATGCTGTGGATTAGTTTTAATAACAATTTTGATTCCCATTCATTCCTTTTTTCCTAGTTGATTCCCATTCATTTTGTTAATCAAATATAAATAATACAATAAAATGAACAGCCATAACAAGAAGTCAACAACACTATTTACAGAAAACAAGCCTCCCAGAAATAGAAGTCTCAAGTTTGTTTTGTTGCAAGCTGAGGATATCGAAAATGGCTTGGGCGGACACAACCCAGGTTGTTATGAACGGGTCGGTAAGAGCAACCAATCTAATCTAACTTCTCATTTATCAGGCCAAGGGCCAGAAGATCAGGTGGAGAGCCCGGTCTAAGATGAAAGGGAATGGGCCCATAACCAAGACAAGCCCAGAAGTTCAGCCCAGCGAAAAGAGTTAGTTAGAAAGCTTCTAGAATGTCTATAACAGTCTATAAATAGACTGAAAAAAGAGGAAAAAAAGGTTGAAAAATTTCTTGAAGTGTAAAGCTTTTCTGTCCAAGTTGAGAGTGGAATTTCTTGCATCTTCACAAGCACTATATTGTATTTATTGTGTTTGTGTGTGTTCTAAAGTGGTTTCCTGATCTAAGATATTTCTAAATATTCTCCCAAAACCAGATCTAGATGACCCGCTGTGCACAATCTTATTGCAGATGAAATTCAAAAGCGAAAAATCAAATAAATTTAATTTATAGAACTCTCGAAAACTGAAAATCGCAGCTTGTATGAATAATAAGGTATACATGACAAAGCTAATCAGCATCCAAGCTTTAAATGATATACATGACTAAGCTATTGAGCTCAATTGTTCAGAAAAAAAAAATCTGTTAATTAACCTTCACTTGGATGCACTTTTTGGTTGGCAGTGATTAACAAGGGCAGCACACTTTGAATTCCGTTCTCCAGAACTGAATGGATCATAATCAGAGAGCACGAAGAAAGGATCAAAAGATGTGTCTTGTTTGATAGGTTTTCATGTAGTTAGATTTCCCCACTTGCTTCCAACATCTCCACTTTCTTCCATTTGTTAAATGCATATGCACCGCTCCAGAAATATAAAGTGACTATACCTCCATGAGCGATGAAAATTTGCTCGGAGACAATGGCTTGTAAAGTGAGAGGGATGGAGAGGAAGTTCAAGTTGGAATCCTTGGTGAGTTTTCCTGCAGAGAGAAACCCTGCAAAATGTCTCCTCCCTTCGATCCTCCTACTCTTAGATCTTTTCTCCAGAGTCATACACATGCTCCATCGTTAGGTTCTCTTGAATATATTTGCTCCCTGCCTTTCCAATCTCTTGCGCATGTTAAGTCACCATGAAGTTGTTAAGAAAAGTAACTAGAATAGTTTTGTGCAACAAAGTTTTCATATGAATTCAATACATATACTCTGAACGTTAAAAATAATTCTTTAGTAAAATAATTAAATAAATACTTACAAAAAAAAAAAAAAAAGTAAAATTGCAAATGAGGTCATTGGCTTATTGCGTCTTATAACAAATTTTACTGAAAAGAGTTGAATTTTATATCGATTTCTAATCAAAAGTCATATAAAATAGACTTTAATACCATTGCGTGACTGGTTTTATTCAGTATTTTTTTTTTTTAATTTTTATAATAGACAACTAAAGGCAGGGGTAATTTGTGGGTTTTCACTTAATATGAAGGGAACACTCTTTATATATGTTCCATTTGTGTATGTTTTATAGGTCAACAAACATACAATCCGGAACCTGTGATTCCAATCTATACAGCCAGGCCTGAGTAAGTGTTAATGACCGCACCACGACAGTTGATTAAGTGGCGCCACCTCTGCAATATAGGCACAACTGGCCAGTGCTGACCTGGCGTGCCCATAATGGATTAGGTATTCTCGAGCTACCTATCCAATAACCGAACTCACTGGCCGAGGAAGGGGTCGCTACCCTTCCTCCACTATGGAAGCGCCCCGCTCCAGTCGGATGGGCTCTTCCCCCCCTGTCTCGTTCGAGGACGCTCTCTGAAAGAGCGACCTCGACTAACCTGTTTACACACTTCTCATCTCGGCAAAGAGGATTTCGGGATAAAATTGGGATAGGACCTTGCGAGGTCATGAAGGCAGGACCTCGAAAGGGACCTATCCCCATTGAAGCACGGGAATTTGAGGACATGTGGATAGGTGGCTGAGATCCAAGGGGTCGCCTCAGCCCGAGGCCAACACAAGGGGGAAATGGTACTTTGGTACCTAAGCTCGAGCAATGAAGGATAAGAAACACATTAATTATGAAAGACGTTTGATAAGACTCGTATTAATTAAGGAGCGCGATTACCTCCTTTAACCGGGGGGCAAAGCGCCACGGCTTATCCATCAATGTCTCATCCGTCAGAAGAAGAGACCATCAAACCTTTGGATCAGAGCGGACTCAGCTAAAGGACCAAAAGACATTGACCGAGGAGATAAACACTATAAATAGGGGTGTTAATCAGCCTTTAAAGGACACAACAACCACATTAACAGCTATCCCCCTGACAAACTCGAGCTCTCGCGGTACCAAAGTCAGCCTTCCCTTTCTTAATCTCTGAACCTAGAGAATCCCTTGTGTTGCTTGGATATCCACTTAGATATTGATTTCAGCATTCTTGGCCTACGTGGAACGGTCTCCTCATCCTATCCACGAACTACTATCAACAGCAAGTAGAGAAAGCTTTAAAACATGTTTGTCATGCATGTATGAACAAACTCAAAAGGAAAAGAATTGGAGCTTCTATTGGTTATTTTGCCAGGCAACAATGCGGTCTCTCTACATGACATGATATGATATGTCTAGTGTGAACTTGTTTTGTTTGAATTGCATTGAAATTGAAGATTTATTGACATTACAAGTTTGATCTTATTCTGGATTTCTAGGTGATCTGAAACGAATAAGTGAAATTGATCGATCTTGGTTGATATCACAATGCTGTCTTACTAAACATGTCTTCAAGATTAGCAAGCAATACTTGGCTAGTGTGGCATTGAAGATCAATGTTAAGGTGCCATATACATATATATTTATAAATACTAGATGAAACAAGTTGCACGTAATGTAAAATGTCTGTGTAATTTTTTTTTTATTTTTTTAATTAATTTATCTAAAGTGTATAATTTAACTTTAAAAATATCATTACATAAATTTTTTCTTTTTTTTTCTTTTTTTTTTTTTTTTTTTTTTTTTTTTGAGGCTCTGCCCTCTTAAAAGGCCTTATCAACCATCTGGGCACCCGACACCATCATCTGTGAAGTGAAGGCTTACTAAGTTTGGATCCTCGAGCTAGCCTCACACAATAGATCCAAAGAAGTGGCAACCTACCTTGAGATTGGCCTAAACACTGATAGAGTACGTACTAATGGACTATGTAGATAGAGAAAAGTGAATTTTAAAAATTCAGTTACTTTTGTGATGAGTCATCTCTTTTGAAAATTAAAAAATAGACTTGTAGAAAGAAAAATAATATAACTTTTTGATGAGTTTAATTTTTTGGAATTGATTAACAAAAATGAGAAAGGAAAGTGCAGCATTGGAGATTTTATAAATCATGAATACAAGAATTATCTAATAATGATGTTGGGTATCAAATACGGCAAATGTAATAATTTAATCTACGAAATTTTGAGAAGTTCAAAGAAAGTACAATTGTAAAGGAATATAATTCACCAATTAACCAATTAATTGGCCACCAAATTTGATCCTACTAAGTACCTTGAAAATAGCCTAGGAGAAGAACCTATATAATTTTCTAGATTAATTAAAAAAATCATT